AGAGATGAGAAGCCAAGCACAGGCTCTTTGCTGCAGTGTAATGTGAGTACCTGTTATTTACAGCACCCCTGATTCCAATTAGAGGTGTGATCTTCAGACACTTCAAACATCCTCTTCTGGATATGTGACAGAAATAATGGATAGTAATTATTTCATTTGTAGGCAAATTAATCCCCTTGGGGAACAGGGGAACAGTTGTTGGTTGGCTTGTTTTGATGAGATCCAGCTGATCAAAACTGAAGGCATCACCTTCTGTTCTTACAGATGGATAAAAGCGTTGGAGGGAAGGAGCAAAGATCATCCTTTCTGAAAGGGTTGTCATTTCCCTGAGTTGTTAGCACAGTTTAGGTAGGAGAAGAGTTTCCTACAGTTGTATGCAGTGTATAAAATATTGCAGTAGAGCTATTTTATGCCTAGGGATACCAGGAATATAGAAAAATATCTTTTCACTCTATGGAAGCTGAAGACATCAAGAAATTCTCAACCAAGAAAAGGTTTTAATATTTGAGGAAAAATGTTTGTCAAATGTAGATGACTGGCAGCTTCTTTCCATGGTTGTTTTTGCAGGTATTAGGTTTTGTTTTAATCTTTAAGGGCCTTTGTTTTATTTTTAGGGCAAAGGAGAGGTTCTCAGTGAAATCCAGTCTCCTGCAGAAGATCAAGTAGGAAAAGAAGGAAGTGAAAGCAAAGCTGTCTTTGCAAAGAAAGATGTTTTGAGACAAGAGTCAGACTTGCCTGTGGCTGATAATGTTTCTCTAACAGGTAAGAGATTATCTCTCACTCTCCCTGTCACAGAAATATCCATTCATATGCAAAGCAAACAGCTTTAATTTTTTTATTCCTAACCCCTTTTTCTCTATTTGCAAATATCTTTAATGCAAGTGAGATGTCTGCTTTGGAAAAACCTGCCCAGCCTCCTGCTTGGAACTACCTGCTTTTAAACAATTCTGGAAATTAGTAGAATTCCACCAATACATGTCCCTGTACAGATGAAAGTTCCTGTTGGTCTAACACAACACCTGTGTATTCTTATATACTTGGAACCAGAAATTGTCTTACTGTGTTCAAGACTAGTAATGTTAGAATTATAGTAAAATGGGTCTGTCCATAGTACAGTCCTTTTGTGTTTATGAATAGAGGGTGTAAATCTCCCCTCTTTTGCACATTTTAAAAAAGACTTGCTTTTTAAATGTCAATGGAATTTTTTTAATGTCTTTTTATACTTAGCTTGATTTTTATAATTACAATTTATAATTTATTTTTAATGTCATTTGTGGGATTTTCTTATGATTTTTTTTCAATTTAAAAAGCAGATGCCCACCTTGTGGAGGATTCAGCCCAGAAGCAAGCAGAGAAGATTTTAATACCTAGCCAGGAACAAGTTTTTGCTGAATGCTCTCAGAAGAGGATTCTAGGATTACTGGCAGCTATGTTACCACCTTTCAAATCAGTTAGTTCTTTTTAACTTTTAATCAGTGTTGGTTTTTAGGTGTCACAAATAATGTGGATAAAATGAACAGCAAATTGGATATGGGAGATGGACTTTTGTTGGTCACATGTTCTAAAATGTGAATGTCTTAAGACAGTTCATATTATTAAGGAATAATAATGTTCCTGGGTGGAGGGAAAGGGAAAAGAGATTTTAATTTATCTTCAAAGCAGTCTGCCTTAAGGGTTCAGCAGCTGCAAAGCAACCAGCAACTTAATTTTAGTGTCAGGTCATCTTAAGGGGTCAACAGCAGAAGTGAGAACCTGGTTTCTCCTTCCTTTTTGTCCCATTTGAAAGAGAATTAGAACAGAAGCTTTTCTATGTGCTACAACTTTGACCAAAAGTCTTGTTTTCTTTCCCTGCCTTACTGAGATTTTTCTTTTTTCCATAGGGCTCCACAATGTCTTTGATTAACCTGGAGCAAATACTTCCACTGATGTTCCAGGTTGTCATCTCAAATGCTGGCCACCTCAATGAAACTTATCATTTAACCCTGGGACTTCTTGGCCAGCTCATCCTGAGACTGAAGCCTGCAGAAGTGGATGCTGCAGTGACTAAAGTCCTTTCAGCCAAACATAATTTGTTTGCTGCTGCAGATGGGTCTACAGTGCCAGAAGGCTGGAAGACAACTCATCTTCTGTTCAGTCTGGGAGCTGTGTGTTTAGACAGGTGCTTTTACATTTAAACCTATTAGTTACTCTCTGATGACTAATTTTCTTCCATGTGTGTCTCATGCACTGGGGCTTTTCAGTAGAAAGTCAGTTAGACCTGCAAGGGTTTAGCATCTGCAGCCCTTGCTCCTGTGAGAATCTCTTCATTTCCTTCCAAAAAGAAGATTGGATTTGAAGAGTGGCTTCATTTCCTGTGCTTAACCTAGGCAGCCTGCTGTGGTGGAAGGACTAAGGTCTTCAAAACAGAGCACAATCCTGTGGTTTTTGTGTGACATGAATTCTCTCCTGCTGAGTTAACATATCAACAGGAAGGGAGGAGAGTGAGTTGGTGCTGAGTTCTGAATCTGTTCTGAGAGAGAGGGTTTTGTGAAGTAAAATTGCACTGGGAACAGCAAGGAGGTGCAGGGCAGATGTTCCATTTTGAAAATCTTGAGAAAGCTCTCAAGCATTCTAAGATGAATGGCATTATTATTTGTTAAGGACAGTGTTATTTTTCATCGTGGCTGCGTTTTACAGGGAAGGTTCATAAAGAGAGAACAATATGAAATTTAAAGGCAGGTTACCCAGACAATCAGCTGAGAGAGAAGAGTTTCTCAAAGACTGACTTTAGAGCAAGGGGACCAGTCTCTCTAGATGACCTGTGTGGTCCACAGAGACAGAACAGGTAGTCACACAAGTGGGAAATGAACCACTTGCTGTTGTGCAAAGGAAAATTGTGATCTCAAAAGTAAAGTTAGGAATTCAAGGCAACAACATTCAGGCAAACTTTGGTTTGGGACTGTAAACCTTGAAAGAAGATGAAGTAGAATTTATGCTGTAATGATGAAAACAAAAGAGGATTTGTGTCAGCTGACCTGAAAGCTTCCAATATTTGGAAAAACGGTTCAAAGATTCTATAGCTGTGACAGATTAACAGTGATATGCTGGCTTGAGGAAAATAGTTTCATGTAGTCAGTCCTGCTAATACAAACTGCTCTTGCTTTCCAGTCGTGTGGGTCTGGACTGGGCAAGCTCCATGGCAGATATTCTTAGGTCTCTGAACTCCTCTGCCCAGTGGCACAACGTGATCGCTGCTTTCACCGACCACTGCATCAAGCAGCTGCCCTTCCAGCTAAAGCACACCAATATCTTCACTTTACTGGTGCTGGTTGGGTTTCCTGAGGTAAGTAGCCTATCAATACTAATGGAAATGAAGCTTTTAGGTTTCTTTTTCTAAATACTCTGGATGTAATCCATTGGGGATATCCATTATAGTGTCAAAACGCAGTGTGTGCCAGAGTTCACATCTTCCCGCTTGCACACAATGGATGTTCATCTAAGAACAAATAACTTAGCATTTCTTTGAGTGCTACTTAGAACTATCATGAGAAAAACAGCTGAGGAAGTTTGAGCTTTTTATAGAAGGGAAACAATCCAGTCTTGACTCTTGATGGTCATGACTCTGAGACATTGCCTGTATATCATTAAGTTGGTTGTTGCAGGTGCCATTTTCTAAGGATTAGCAAATACCTGGCAGTGAGCAGATTGCTCAGCTAAAAAATAGAATACCAAGACTCAACAAATGTAAGCAATAGAAGACTGTGTGTTTACAAATAAGTCTTTCAGCTCCTAACTGAAACTTTTGCTTCCCTTTCAGGTGCTGTGCATGGGGACTCGTTCTGTGTACATGGATAATGCTAATGAGCCTCATAACGTGATCATCCTGAAGCATTTCACTGAGAAGAACAGGGCTGTTGTAGTGGACATCAAAACCCGAAAGAGAAAAACAGGTTCCGTCACATTTTTATCTTCTCAAAGAATCACAGTTTGCAGTTTCTTAGGGATGCCAAAAATCATATTTTAGGGATCTGCAAAAATTCCATTATTAGCAAATCACCCGGGATTCTGCTCGTAGGTTAAACCAACCTGTGAAGCTGCTGCAGTGAAGATGATGGAGATTAGTTTTCTTTTTAAAACTCTTGACATTTCTTCTTATTCAGAAAATTATTTAGGAAACTGGTGACTGTTATTAATTGAGAAATCTGAGAGATAGTTTCTGTTTCCATATGTGCTTACTGCTTGTGTCTGACCCTTTACAGACACGTACTCCGTTTTATAAAACCATCAGAAATTTTTAAAAATGCACATGCTGCCTTTGTGTACTTAGGTGCTGTTGTACAATAGAAAGGTACTCAGAGTCTGAACGTTTTTGGGATAGGCCTTGTAGTTGCCTAAAAAATACTCTGCATGTGTATGAAGTGCCTGAAACTTTGATGAAGTTTTCGCTGTGGGCCAGATGTGCTGCCTACTAGGAAATGAAGACCAAGAACTAACACAAACATACCCATTATCAACTGATTGCTTCTGAAATGATGCTGTGCTGCCTGTTCTTTCCTGATCCCTGTGCAAAAGAATGCCATGAGGAGAGGCCTGACTTCTTTAATCATGTGCTTTATGCACATGTCAGGAGTCTGTCTACTCTGCTTTCCTCCTGTCTGGAAGAACTTTTCAGTTTGGATACCCCTGGAATTTGAGACAAAAATTTTAGAAGACTTCTACAGGGAATTCTGCAGGGAATACCTTTAAAAATAATCTTTTCATAGGTTGGGTGTGTTGGCTATTATGGTGTCTAAAGGCTTATTAAAAAACCCTCAAACCTCCAGAAAATAGCAAAACCCCAAAGGTAGGTTCTGTTTCCTGGGTCATTTGTAACAGAAAGAATTTTCTTCCTGCCTTTTCAGCTTGTTTAAAATTTCAGTCAAGCTAAATATTCAACATGTAACAATCAGTTGGGATTTCTAGGAGCAAGAGGTTTCAGTTTGGGCATACATGACCTGATAATTGTGAAGCTAAGAAAGCAAAGGTTGTCCTAAGATTTGACTATTGAAGTTATTTAGAAGACCCTTGGAAAAAATCAAGAACCTAAACTGCTTTTTGATATCAAGGAAACATTTGGCTATAAAAGTTTTATTTGTTTTTATTTCTTACTGTTAAGTAAGATCTAATTTCACTCTATCAATTGCAGATCAGAATTTTCCCCATTCTGATTGTAAAATACAACACTTGCTTCTTTGCCTGCTGACCTGGTTATGTGCAGATCTATGGAGCTCTTGCCAGATGTTACCAAGGGGTTTTTTAACTTGCACTGAAAAATGAAATATTTTCTTGACTATTCAATGAATGTGGGATCATTTCAGTACAAAAGCATAGTTTTACTACAGCCAAGCAGATAAGTGGTTCTTCTACAGTCTCTTTAATGTGACTGTAGTTGTTAGAAAGTGCTTTATGTGTGGATTATGTTCATGTCTCAGCCTACACCTCTCTATGGGTAAGAGATGATTTCAGAAGGCTTTAAATGAACTCAGTGAATCGTGTCCTTTCTCCCTTGCAGTGAAGGATTATCAGTTGATTCAGAAATGTGGACAAGAAGGCAGTGACTCCCAGGCCCAGCTGAAACAGTATCTGCAGCACTTTGTCCTTATATCCACTCACCTCCTGCAAACCAGCATGGACAGTAGCTATGCTGAGGCAGTCGAAGCAACGTGGGTCTTGTCACTGGCTCTCAAGGGGCTTTACAGAACACTGAAGGTATCTCCTTGCCTGATGTGTAGAATATGATAGATAAAAAAGAGTTGGGGTTCTACCTTGCACTGCAGGACCTTGGGTATTGACTGAACACAGCACAGGAAAGATACAGACCTTTTGGAGAAGGGCCACAAAGATGATCCGAGGGCTGGAGCAGCTCTGCTCTGGAGACAGGTTGGGAGAGTTGGGGTGTTCAGCCTGGAGAAGAGAAGGCTCCAGGGAGACCTTAGAGCACCTTCCAGTGCCTGAAGGGGCTCCAGGAAAGCTGGGGAGGGACTTTTCACAAGAAAGGGCAGTGATAGTACAAGGGGTAGTGGTTTTAAACTGAAAGAGGGGAGATTTAGGTGAGACATCAGGATGAAATTCTTCACCATGAGGGTGGTGAGACCCTGGCCCGGGTTGCCCAGGGAGGTTCTGGCTGCCCCATCCCTGGAGGTGTTTAAGGCCAGGTTGGATGAGGCTTGTGCAGCCTGGGCTGGTGGGAGGTGTCCCTGCCCATGCAGAGGGGTTGGATCCTGATGATCTTTAAGGTTCCTTCCAACCTTAACCATTCTATGACTCTGTGAAGTTGGTTTTCTCACAGCTTGTTTTTTTCATCCCCTGTCTGTGGGGGCTGAAAACGTTGCTAGGCTTTAAGTGGTATTTGTGAGCCTGAGCTGGAAGGTTGAGTGCTTTTCCTTTGCTGGGGGGGCTGCCCATGCAGGAAAGCTGAAGACATTTATAGGGATAGCACTTCAAGGAGGGAAGCTCACTTACTCCTTTTCCTGAAGTATTTAAAGAAAGAATGTGATTTCTTTTTTGGCTGTCAGAGCAAAACAGACATCCAGTTACTGCTCTGTGTGTGTCATAGATCATAGTCTTATTCTGTATTTGGGGTTTGGGGTTTTTTTAGGGGAATGAAAGAAAAGTAGTAATTCCTACCATATTTCATCTGGGCAGGAATTTTATGTGAGCCCATGTGATAAGGCCTTGCAAGTGTTGTGATGCACTGTTCCCCTTTCTATTGATTTGTTTGCATCTGTCTGTCTGCTTGTGTGTGTAGATCCATGGCTTTAAGGAAATCCAAGCTGCCTTTCTCCAGTCTGATTTGCTCAAGCTTCTAGTGAAGAAATGTAGTAAAGGAACTGGGTTCAGTAAAACCTGGCTTCTCAGAGACTTGGAGGTAAGAAAAGAAGTTACATTTTCTGACATGTCAGTCTTCACACAGTGGCATGAAATGCTGTTGTGCATGGAGCCTCAGGATTATTTCTCTGTCCTTGTCTAAGAATCCTCAAACCTTTGATGTACTGAAATGGTTAAAACATTATTTTCTCAGTTTTTTACACTTTTGGCTAATCACTTCAGTTGCCTTTGTAGCAGCATGGAAGGTGCCACTTATTTGTGAAGTGGGAAGTGGTTTGGTTTTGTGCTTTGTCTTCTTTTTTTTTCCTTTTTTAGGTGCCTTTTCCCTTTAAAAAACAGCATGTGTTAAGCACTGCCCAAGTCTTAGAATGTTCTTATAAAATGCTGATTGCAGCTACACTTACCATGTCTGCAGCTGTCACACCATCTGCTGCCTTTTTTCTGTGCAGATTTTGTCAATAATGCTGTATTCCTCAAAGAAAGAGATCAGTTCCCTGGCTAAACGTGAGGATACTGAACTGGAAGAAAGGGAACAAGATCAAGATGTGGAGCAACCCATTGTTGGTCCTGTTGATTCAGAGCAGAACAAACTTGATCCTCTGGAGGGTTTGGATGAAGCCACTAAAATCTGCTTCTTGGTACCTATTTTTACCTCCTTTGAACTTACGTTGAATTTGTTAGTTGCATAAAATACTTGGTAGCTTATATGGGTGGTTTTCTTCTAAGTTTACAGAATATAGGGTTATAATTTCAATATGTTGTTACCTAAAGGAAATAAAACTTCATGCCAGGACTACAGTAATGAACACTACAAAATCATAAAGCTTTTTTGCTGAATTCTTTTTCATTTTTACTAATGCAAATATTATTAAGCTCAGTAATTCTCTAGCTGTATGAGAAAGTGGGAATGTAATAATTGGGAAAATAATACCTAGGTTATCCTTACTTGTCTTCTCCCCCTGCAATGTCACCTTCCTTTGATTTGTTTGTTTCTACTTCTCCTTGCTCAGATGACCCATGATGCACTCAATGCTCCTCTCCATATTCTTCGAGCCATGTATGAGTTGCAAATGAAACGAACAGATTCTTTTTTCTTGGAAGTTCAAAAGAGGTATGTGAGAGACTGGGCCCAGCAGAAAACTAGTGTTACTGGGTGTGTGTGGGGAACCTCAAATCTAATAGGTGCTGAATAGAAGTTAATTCCAAGGTTTTCATGTGTGAAAAAGCAAGGTAATAAAGTCCTACTCATGGAAAGAAGTCACCGTCTGCTGAAATCCATTGCATGTTCTTTTCCATGTGGTAACTCCCATATGAAGATCTGCTGTGTCTCTAAATTATCCTAACTGGGGCAGAATGGAGACCTTACATGTGGCTCCCAGTAATGAAAGCATGTGGTGGAGCCACCATGTTCTCACACCAGGTGAGCAATTTTATCACATGCAAAACCTTCGACTTGTTAGAACAGCAAAGCCAGTTAACATCATATGATTAAAATAGGCAGAGTTTAACGAGTCTTTCTACAACAGAAGGTGGGAAGATTAATTAGCATTTAATTGCACTAATTTAATTTCCAAACATGTTTGTGTATTTTCCTTTTCTTTGGCCTCCCCTCAGGTTTGATGGGGATGTGATTACAACAGATGAGAGGATCCGAACGCTGGCTCAGAAGTGGCAGCCCAGCAAGCGTTTGAGGTTGGAGGAGCAGAGTTCAAAAGCAGTAGATACAGACATGATCATCTTACCCTGCTTGGTATGTGCACCTCCACAAAAAGGAGCAGCTGTGAAATAATTCATTTAGGCATTGAATAACTTGGGTTTTGTAACTTCAAACCTGAGATTGATTTATTTTGTTCAACATCCAAAATAATCGGTCGTTAATGTTTTATGTCAAAGTGAATGAGCAGGTACAAGAAGAAGCAAGTATTTCTTTCTTGTAATTTCTTCCTTAAGGAAGTAAGAAAACTTGATCCTCAGATCAGGAGAAGAAATTGTGATTGCATGCTGGAATTTCCTCTCCTTATACAAGACAGGTTGTATCTAATTACTGTAAGCTTCTGCCCTAAGTGCTACTGTTTTACCAAACTATTGTTACCTTAAAGTAACTTCAGCAGAACAAGAAAGCAATGAATTTGTCCTGTAAAGTAGATGCTACACTTGCAAGCTGGAGGTTTTCCATTCAACAGGATGGTCCCACAGCTCTTTGCTTTGTTGTGGGTGCTGATTTCTGGCTGTGTGGTACCACCAGCACAGTTGTCTGTCACCTGTGTAGCAAACTGGATCAAGGGCTTCCTGAAGTAGTTTCACATAATTATAGGGAAAAAGAACAAAACAGCTTATACAGAGGCTGTGAAATATCCACCCCTGGACATTCTCCATTCATTTTGAAGTTGTCTCAGCTTTAAGTCAGGTTTGAACCAAGTGATCTCCAAAGGTCCCTCCCAACTTGCCTCATTCTGTGTCACAGGTGGTGTGACATTTTGTTGCCTTATCTTTGTAGATCAGCTGAAACTAATGCTTCAGGTTAGAATTCTAACTGCTGTTTCTGCTCATGTGTGCAGTCTTGAATGCATCAGTGAAGTGTATAGACAGTCTTCTTGAGGAATTGTTCCTTTAGGTGTGTGAGAGATCACACTTGTCTGTTCTTTGATGCATCTGATTTTCAGTGTGTAAAAGACGAACTTATTTTGAGGGGTTAGATTGGATGACCAATAAGAGTCCCTTCCAACTCAAGCTATTCTATGATGGTATGATTTATAAGTTCAGCTTGCAGTCTGGTGGACTGGGCAGATACCCAAACATAAGGTAAGTAAAACTGTTGAGAGCCTCTTTTTCAAACTTCCATTTCTCTTTTTTTGGCAGTCCAAGCCTGCGCTCTGCGATAAAGCGACGGAAGAAACCAACCCAGTTGCCCAGAAGCTGATAACCAACACAGAGAGTGATCTGCAGCTGAGTTATGCCAAGCAACGTCGTACTAAGAGTTCCATCCTCTTGCACAAGGAGCTGGACTCCAGAAGTAAAAAGGCTGTGAGGGACTATCTGTACCGTGTCAACGAGGCAACGGCCGTTCTTTACGCCAGGCACGTGCTGACGTCCTTGTTAGCTGAGTGGCCAGATGATGTGGCAATAAATGAGGAAATCCTAGACCTTAGTGGCCCAGCCCATATGACATACATCCTGGACATGCTCATGCAGCTGGAGGAAAAGCAGTTATGGGAAAAAGTAAGTGGATTTCATGTAGAGATGTGAACAAGGTCTGTGCCTTGAGACTGATTAATGAAAATCCTTGCGGTTCCTTTCTTAAACTAAAGTGAAACTCCACCATTTAAATTAGTTCTGAAGAAGCAGTTGGAATCTGACAGATGTACTGATTTTGTTAGCAGAAAATGGAAAAGACAGCTCTCTCAGTTTTGAAAGGGTTATATGGGGAAATAAAGCTGAGAGAAACTGGTTAAACAGGCAGTCCCTTTTGAAAGCTGCTTTTTGTTAGATCTCAATGTGTATCTTGTAATACCTGCTACTCATTGATGAGCTGACTGTGGCTGTGGTGGAAGTGATCTGGGAATGATCAGGGAATTTTGTAATGAAAAAGTCAGCTCCATGCTTCAGAGGGAGTGGAAGCAAATCAAGTGCTGGGAATCTTCAAAGAAGGAGTTAAAACTCAACCAGAAGGCCTTGGTGTGCCACCAATAGTCTGCTCTCACAAGGACTGCAGCTTGGCACCTGCCTCCCTCCTCTCATTTAAAAAAAATACTAATCTAACTGGAAGAGGCCTGGAGTGGCAGGAATTAACACAGCCATGGAGTAACCTCAGGATGAGGAACCATCTGGATTCATTCTGGATCTTTGCCCTTTAGGGATGCGGGGGGAGGAGGAGGAATGGAAAAGTCCATTCCTCCTCCATAGTTTAAAACAGTAAGCTGCCTCCAGAAATGAAACAGCAAGTATTATTCACTGGCCCTCCCAGTAACAAAACAAAGGAGTGTCAGATTAAGGTGGTTAAGTGACAGGTCCAAAACAAACCAAAAGAACTGGTTCTTGACACAGTATGTCATTGAAATTGTTGCCACAGGGTGTTTAGATAGGTTCAGAAAATGTCAGGATGAACTGATGTAATAAAAATCTCTTAAGGCATATTAAATACAAAGACATAGCCTTTGTCTTAGGCTATTTTGCAAGTGTGTGGAGGCAAAGAATGTATTCAGGGAACTACACTGCATGCTGCCCTTGTTTTTTAAATCTATATCTGGCTGGTGTGGAGATGAACAGCTCCACATTTTCTAGGAGAGTCAGATACTTGCAGATGAAGAGATGTATTTGGTGGCTGTAATGACCTATAAAGGGCTTTGAGTAGCAGGATTCCTCATGAAGAGCATTGGTGCACTTTTGAAAAATAAGAAAAAGTGGAGACTAAGGTTGTTCTGAATTGTCATTTAGTGTATCCTGATAGATGAAATGGCATTTGTTTGTATTTTTAAAGACTAGATGCTCTGCATTTAGTGCTTTCAAACCCTGCAGCTGCTTAACTGATACTTAATCTTCCCTTTTTATATATGGAATTGTACATTTTGAAGGCAAACCCATGACACACTCAGTTCAAATCAAAACCTGTAGGTATGGAAGGTATAAAGGTGTCTGTTGAGTATGTTCACAAACTTATTTATCTTCCTTGTTTACAGCTTTAGTTTACTGTTAATTACTGGATGGATTAGCATTGATTCTAGTGTTTGTGGAAAGAGCTCTCTTGTTTTTATCCAATAAAGACTGAAAGACCTGAATCAGGGAACAGAGTAAACTCTTCTGCACTGACAGAGATGACACTTGTAGACACCATTTGTGAATGTGTGTAGCTTCTTGCTAGTAGCTCAGCTCTCTCTCCCAGCACACGTGGCTGGAAATACCTCCTGTGTCAGTCACCAGCAGGCGAGGTTGTCAGTGTTGATTTGCTGGCACATTCCATTGACATGATGTGCTGCTTCTCCCCAGATTCTGCAGAAGGTGCTGCAGAGGTGTGATGAGAGCATGCTAGGCACAATGGCCCTGACAGCCTGCCAGTTCATGGAGGAGCCTGGGATGGCAGTGCAGGTGCGGGAATCCAAGCACCCTTACAACAACAATACTAATTTTGAGGTGAGTTCCACCATTTGCATGACTTGAAGACCAGTCTCAAAACATCCAGATGGTTGGAGCAGCAAGTTCACCATCTTCCCTGTGTATACCCCTGGGGCTTCTGTGCCTGCAGCACCTGCTCAGGCTTGCTTGTGAAGAGGTGCCCAAGGACTGAGGCCTTGCACTGAAGTGTGTTCAGTGAGGCACTTCAATGCAGCCCTGGTTCAGTCATGTGAAAAGGGCATAACTTCAGTGGTTTTACTGTGTTTGAAGCAGATCACACACCTAAATGGCTCCAGGACCTTAATGAGCAAATGCTTCTACCCTTTCATCCAAAAGTCTCTTTCACTTGGCCTGTTACTTCCTTGTGCTGTTAGATGCGAGGAGTTGAGTCTTTCTTTCCTCATTTTAGAGTTTTGACACAAACACTTGATTTTCTTTACTTGGTATTGTTTGAAAGCATTTTTTCTAATGTATTTTGGTAAGCAATTATTGCAGTCTTGGGATTATTATTTTTCCCTGCAGCTCTCAGTCTTCTGATTTTTATTTTTAAATGTGTGTAAACCCTTAGGCTGTGGTAGCGAGGTCAGTACCAGCAACCATTGCCTCTTTTGAAAAAGCAAAGCATTGCTAGCAATTAATTTTTACACTCTTAACAACTAATGCAAACAATAGGCCAGGCTTTACATTTACTAAATTAGCAATGAAGAGGGTTTTTATCCCCTGGAGATGCTGCACTATTTGTTGTCTCTCCCTTCTTCATACGGCGAAAGTGAAAGAGCTTCTTGATTGTATGGGATTATGGTTTACCAAGATCATACCTTTCTTCCTCAGGATAAAGTTCACATTCCTGGTGCTATCTACCTCTCAATCAAGTTTGACTCTCAGTGTAACACAGAGGAAGGCTGTGATGAGTTGCTGATGTCCAGCAGCAGTGATTTCCAGCAGGACCGACACAGCTTCAGCGGCTCCCCGCAGAAATGGAACGATTTTGAGCTTCCAGGTGAACAAGCTGTGACTCCAAGTGCAAAGACAGGGAGCTGCTGCTCTCCAGGAGCTCTTGAGAGAAACTGCTGAAAGATGACAGTTAAATGCAGATGTTCCTGAGATATGTGGGGAGAAAAAACTCATTTTCTTGCCCCGATCTGTTTGCTCTGAGCTGCTGCTCTTGCACTTGTTTCTTACAAGTCGCTTATCTCTTGTTCTGCTACTTGACCTTTTTTTTCCACACCTCAATCAAAGCATGCACTGAGCTACTGGAAACAAATTTTAATCTTGATTCTGTTCCAACACAGTCCTTGTTCTGCACGATATTCACTTACATTGTTTCTGCCTTGTCTTATTTTCCACAGGAAGCACATTTTAAAGAAAAAAACCAACAACAAACCAGACAGGCTTATCTCCTGTCTCTGTGCTCTGCTGCTGCTCAGAGCTGACTGGGTGTGCCAGTGCCTTGTCTCCAGACACAGATCACAGCTGAAAAAAAACAAACTAGTTCTTAAGACTGACAACCTGAGTCTGTATCTTTAATCACAGTTTGGATCAGAGCAGCAGATGATGTTGGTGAGCAGGTCCACATGGACCTGCTTCTGTGCTGCTTCTGCTGCTTCTGCTCAGTTGTTTTAACCCACTGAGCTCTGTGGCCTTGCAAGAAGTTTTGACTTTGAGTAGTGTCAGTAGCTGTAAATAGATTTAGGGACTTAACAAAGCCCTTTAGATGACAGGGTGTGTGTTAGAAACAAATGTGTGCCCTGTAGAAATATTTGGGGGGGTTTATGAACTTCTTTCTGTCTTCCTTTTTCCTCCCAAGTAGTTGCAGAGGTTTGCCAAGAGGCTGAACTTTGAGGCCCATTGTTTTGGAGCAGCCTTGGCTGTGAAACTGGAGTTTCACCTTGTGAAAATTCATTTCCAGCCAAGGCTCTCTGGATTAAAGCTTTTTATTTCACTCAGCAGGCTTTTGAAAGCTTCTGGGCTTTCCATTTGATGGCAAATGGAGTCTTCCTCAAGACTCCTAGGAATAGGAGACAACAGTGACTCCATTTTGGGATGAAAAAGGGAACAGGTGGTGGGTTCTTTTAGGATTTTCTGTTTCACTATCTTAAATCCTAACCAATGGTTTCAAAATTTTTCTTCCACTTGAAGCTTTGACTATTTTGCTTCCCAACAAAAACTAGCACATTTGTCCTAGGGTGCTAGTTGTTTGGTTTTTTTCATGGAACAGAAGCAAATTATAAATTGTAAGCAGATTTAATACTACAGAGCACAAGAGGTGAGGTTGTGTCTTGTGTAGCATTACAGTGTTTGTGAAACTACAGGTGCTACAACAAGAACTTCTTGAATGTTCCAGTGCCTGATTGTAAAACTGTTAAACATTTTGGTAGTTCTCCCATTTTGAAGTGGTTAAGTTCAACAGTTTTGTGTCCTACAGCACAAGTCCACCATTTAATGTTCTGTAAGAGCAGTGCAGCTTTAGTTTCACAATATTTTTACCTTTTGCATAATGAACTGTGAACCTGGCTGCTGGTATAGAGGATCTTTTTTTTTCATAAATCATAATTGATCCCTAATGGTGCCCAGAATAGAGTTTCTTGGGCTCCCTTTTCTATGTAGTTGACAAAATATAAGAGACGTTATCCTTGCAAGTATCTTATTGGAAACCACTCTTCTGCTGCAGCTTCCTGTTTGTCATACTGTTTTGTACATTTCATAGCTCCAAAAAAGTAAAAGATCACCTCTCCTGGATGGTGATATCTAGGATTAATTAATTTTAATGCAAGCTTTAGGTTTGGAGTGTATTTGTGATACAAATTGTGTTAGCAGGACTAACTCGGAAGGTGGTAACATGGATTTTCTTCCTTCCCCTGCACACAGGAGACACCCTCTACTACAGATTTACTTCTGACATGAGTAACACTGAGTGGGGTTATAAGTTTACAGTGACAGCAGGTCATCTTGGAAGGTTTCAGACAGGTAAGCACTGCTCAGCATGTCTCTGAAAGGCCTTTTTGGAGTTATTCTGCTTTGACAGACTTGTGGGTCTCCCTTTTTTTGACCTAGAATTTGCTTTCTCCAATGGTTTGGAAAGAATGTGATTAGTTTTGTTCAAGTTGAAACTTGACTGCTGTCTCTTATTTGCTGTGACTTTATGCTAGAAATAGCAGATCTTCACAGAGGTTTGGAGATGACAATTATCATGGTTATGTGCCTTTGAAATCTCATTATGTGGCAGTAATTGCACACAGGGTTTAGTCAACACCCCAAGGTGACATAATTGGAAACAGAAATAATTGTAATTGTGCTTTTAAAAAGTAATTACCCATTAGAATAGGCTGCTTCTGGATCTGATTCCTAGATAGAGTATGAAAAGGTTATTTTAGAGCTGAAATATTTTTAATGAAACTGAAGCTGGTGGGTGAATTGCAATCAGCAAAACTCAACACTTACCAAATCAGTGTGTTTTATTTGTCTTATTTGGGCAAAACTTTTACTTCAGATGGGATTCTTTCTTCAGTTTTTTTGCCCCAGGAAAGGCTTGTGATGTCAGGATGGAGTTAGAATTACCTCAGAGTATTTATTTGTGTATTTTGGGTTGATGTTTCTTACTTGCTAGAGCGATACTTGGAGAAAAATGTCTGAACGGAACCCGTCCCTCTGAAAGTAACAATTGTTGAATTCTGTTTTTTTTTCCCAGGCTTTGAAATTCTAAAGCAGATGCTGTCTGAGGAAAGGGTGGTTCCTCACCTCCCACTGGCCAAAATCTGGGAATGGCAGGTGGGAGTGGCCTGTCGCCAGACGGGTCACCAGCGGCTGAAGGCAATTCACCTGCTCCTGAAGATAGTGCAGTGCAGCCAGCAGGGGTAAGGGTGCTGTTCTGTGCTGGGCACTAAAAGGCAAAGGGCAGGAGGAAAAAAAGGGACTCAGCTGATAATAGAAAGGCAGAAAACCATGATTTGCTGTAGGTACTCTTAACTTGCCTTTCAGATGCATTTCATAGTGCCTTGATGGCAGAAACTTACTCAAAGAGGTTTTTTAAACACTCTCTTCTCTCTTGGCTTTTAAAAAAGGTCCATTGAATTCAGGTGATGTTGTAAAGAAAAAAAAAAAAAAGCCCCTAAACAGGACAAAAATAGATTTAAATTCATTTTCTAGCAATTTATTCTCTTTGTATTAGTCCTACTTCAAAATTAAGCTGAGGATGGGGTAATAAACTGGTGAAATGGCAATAAATAACTTTTAAATGAGTATTTTTAGTTGCACCACTAAGCCTGTAATTGAGTTTCAGAGGGAGAGGGGTGCTAATGCACAAATTTGCAATGTCATGGAGTATTTCTCAGGAAAATGCACATTCTAAAAAATGTTGAGCTTTGATAGTGTCTTGCAAACGTGTGTTGTCACATCAGCTCAGTAGAAATGCTGGAAACAAAGACAAGGGTGCTGGAATGCTGGCCTTTATCTCCATTGTGTCCTTTCAATTCAGAACCAGCAAAATCATGACAATAACAGCATCCTGCCAGCTTGCTTTGAGAAAGAGAAGTGAAAAAGTAGCTTTGAATATAGTAATAAAAATGGGCAATTACCCAGAACCATTGCTTGACTCACTGTACATTTTAGTTACCCCAGTCTACATCCAAGCCTGAAAAGATGATTTTGGTGTTGCTTGTAAGCACTGATTTATTATCTTGTCTAGTTCCCCTAGTTGTTTGTGTTTTTTTAATCAGAAAATTACTCCTCTGTCACGTGAGCAACAAATTTAATTGCTAAAATGTCAAGTCTCCATTGTTCTTATAATATTGAATATTTTTCAAGTGTTAATCCAATGATAAGATTCTGAAATTGAATTTCCTCTCTTTTCTCCACTTGTGGAATGATATTTGTCATCCTGTCTGTATGATAAGTGACATTTGGATGAGCTAGCTTGAGCTCAGGAGTGGGAAGGAGGCAGGGTTGGAATTGTTTGTAAAAAGATGTATCAGTTTTTGTCTGTCTGTCCTAAACAAGGGCTGTGCTTGGGTATGGGGTGATTTCCAGCAGCGGAGCTACAACATTTAGCCAAGTGATGTATATATTGGAGTCTTTTTTAAGTCTTCATTTCAGGAGGTCACTCAGTCTTAGAGAAGCCATGTAGATATGAGATTCATGGATTTGAGGTTTTCTTCCCTGATTCAGAAGGAAATAATGCTTCTTGTGTTCCTTCCTTCATTGACACATCTGACTGTCAGACCTGGGTGGTTTTCTTCTCTCTTGATTTTTGGGGGTTATTTCTTTTGGTTTTCCCCCAGAAAGAGATGGAAGATCATGGTTACTCACTATTTGATTATTTTTTTTCCAGGGACTGTGACCTCACCTTGTTGAAGCCACTTTGGCAGCTCTTCACCCATATGGAAAACAACTTGTGTTACGACATGGCCAAGCCTGGGATCCTCCTTCCTCTTCATCGTGCACTCGCAGAACTCTTCTTTGTTACAGAAAACAGAGTCACTGTAAGCAGTTCCTGTACTGGTATCTTTCCCCAGAGCTGGGAATGACAGACAGCTCAAGTGTTAAACCTAGTGCAGTTTTCCTTTATCTTGGCAAAGTTCATCAGAGCTTTAGAAACATGAAATGCTTCAGAAACATCAACAACGTTCCCTGGTGGAGTCTGGTAGCAGGTTCAAACAGAAGGACAGACTGTTGTTTGATCCATCAGGGGACCTTAAGTAAATAGTCATGACTCCTCCTTGTGCAGTTAAGGATTTAGGCCCTAAATCCACTCTTTATTCTAAGAGGAATGCTGATTTGATCATTAATTTAAAGGTATTTGAATGTGGTTCTCCTTCAGTTGATTTTGAACATTCCATGTGCACAGTCTGTCATTAATTGATTTCCATGGTCACAAACTGTGACTTGTGTGCAGTTCTGGTACTTTTGTTCTTTGGGGACTGCTATAATGATCAGCATTTTCATGTTAATTAGTAGGATGGTATCTTTGGTTAGAAAACCTTGGCGTTCATGGCATGTTTTCTGGCTGCAGGAGCTTGGATCTCTGCAGGAGTATTTGCTTGCCTTAAATACCGAAGATCATCTTCATCGCTGCACAGCACAGGTAGGGGGGGCTGCACAGCACAGGTAGGGGGGGCTCCCTGCTGAGGAAAGGCTGAGGGAGCTGGGTCTGTTGGGCTTGGAGAAGAGGAGACTGAGGGGCCACCTCATCCATGGTTACAAATATGTAAAGGGTGAGTGTCAGGAGGACAGAGCCAGGCTTTGTGCAGTGATGTCCAGTGACAGGACAAGGGGCAATGGGTGCAAACTGGAGCACAGGAGGTTCCATGTGAATCTCAGGAAGAACTTTGCTGTGAGAGTGACAGAGCCCTGGGCCAGGCTGCTCAGAGAGGCTGTGGAGTCTCCTTCTCTGGAGACATTCCAACCCCCCTGGCCACGTTCCTGTGTGATGTGCTCTGGGTGCCCCTGCTCTGGCAGGGAGGTTGGGCTAGGTGATCTTTCCAGGTCCCTTCCAACCTCTAGGATTCCATGATCCTGTGATTTTTCTGGCAGACCAAGATAATCCATGATTTCTGATTGCCCAGTGGAGTTTTTTAAGAGAGCTGGGAATGTAGCTGGGCTTTGCAGTGACATGATGGGCCCTGAAACCTGTGAAGGAGCCACACTCAAGTGTGTTCTCCTTTGCAGTTAGATGATGTGCCACAACCTGGCTGTTGGGTGTACCCTGGTGTATCTGTTTGACCCAACTGAGCTCTCCACTGCCAGAACCTGGAAATGAGGGGAGGGAGCTGATCTTTCAGCTGCTGGAAATACAATTGCCTTGCTGAAGCTGCCTGGATACATGACAATTCCTGTACTCCCAGGAGATGACCTGGTAGAAACAGGGTGGCTATTTATCTATTTCTGTTTCTTTTCATACAGGGTTTTCTTTTGGATTAGGAAGAGTCTTTGAGATGACTTTGTTTTTCCTTCTCTCTTCCAGGCCCTGAAAAACATTGCTGCTATCAGCCTTGCCATTAACTATCCAAACAAATCAACAAGTTTCTGGAATGTTTAATACTGGCTCAGGCCGGAGTGCATGGGATAGAGTAGTTTGTCCATAAGAACCTTGGAACAAACATCTTAACTCCCTTCAGGAAACGTTCCTTCAGCTTCAGTGTATGAGCACTCTGCAGCCTTCCTTCCTTCCTTCCACCTTGATGTAGAATTTGTACAAGTTAAAGCTCACTTGGATGACAAAGCACATCTTGAAGTAACTCACGCCTCGCCTACAGTTATGTATGCACATATTGTAGCATGTTAGACTAAACAGAACAATAGGGTGTTGTTTTTTTTTATCCAGAGGAAGTAAAGGAAAGGAGGTAGATGAGGTATGAGAATGGAAGGCCCCTGCTTTTGGTATCATCTGCTCCCAAGGAAATTTGATGGGTGGAACGTGACAGCTTTGAAAGTATCGCTGGAAACTCAGTGGCCCCATCAGCAGCACCTGGGATGGATCAGTGAAGTGGAACAGGCAAACCAGAAGCTGGTGGGCTGGTGCAGGAATGGTCCACATTTGAATCCTGTCGTGATTGCTTTTGCTTTGAAGGCTAAAGGAAAAGAACTTGAATTCTTCTTACTGAAGTACAGGTTGAAAAACCAATTCTGTATGAATCGCGCAGTAGTTGAAGGATTCCAGTTTCAGAGCATCCTTGTGCAAGAGGTTCATGTTTCTCCTGTTCTTTGATTCCATCAGCTGGATCATCTGTTCTTACCTTAATTTATCTCCAGTGTGTTATTCTAATTATTCTAGTCCAGAGAGCAAAGGCTGAACTCCATTCACACAGCAGTGGTGATATGAAGAACTGAGGAACTTACACGTTTCTTGAAGATCACATCATTACAAGAAATTATTCATGAGGCTTTATTTCTTTTAATTATTTTGATACTAGTGGCTTAGGAGGTCCTTCTTGGCAATGTTGGGAACCTGGACTGCCAGCACTCAGGGTGGGGGTTAATGATCAATCCAGTCTTATCTTACAGAGCAATAACTGCATTACTCTTAGCAAACGTGGAAAGAATTTCAGACCTTCTATGCTAAAATAAATTGGCTTTCTTCCTGCTCAACTACACTGGTTATTCCCTTTCCAAAGAGTTAAAAAGAACATAGAAGGATTTGGGGGTGTATTTTGTGGTCTGTTGTACAGTACATAGAGCTGGTCTGGTTGAGTATTCATTCAGAGAACTTTTTATGCCGATTATTTCCTTCTTTCCTCACCTCAATGTCGGAATAAGAAAAAAGACACAACCAAAAGCTTCAGGAGTGGCTCTTGCAGAAGGGAACAGGATTATTTACCTTACTGGGCTAATGGTGAGTGGTGCCTAAGTTGCCATGTGCAACCTACACAGGAACACCACTTAGGGGGGTGACCTCTACACTGATGATCTTATCAGCTGGGGCTGGAATTTTAAGGGTGGGCCAATCTCCTGAGAGAGAAGCGTGCAGGAATACATCCTCTGTTTTCAGGTGGCCTCTAGTGCTGTGGGTAAAGATGTTTTGACTTCTTTCTGCTCAGCCAGGTGAGTGTAAAGTGAATGCTTCTTCAGGGGGTGAGGTTGAATCAGGTTGTGGTTGTTCTGCCTGAAGGACTTCAGTCTGAAGACCAAGAAGCAACACACTGAAGCTGTTGTGTTTGGGAATGGAGTTGGCCTCTTAGCAAGTGAGAATGCCAGAATTCAGGAAAAAACACACTGTTTCTTGAAGACTGAAAGGAGCCAGAGAGATACTGCTCTGAAACCTCTGCTGGAGCATACTGTAGTTGGAAGCTGAAGCCCTCCTTCCTTCCAGAGTGGGATCAGGATGGGAAGGGATTTATCAGCCTTGTGATGCGTCTTCAACGCACGGATCGTTTTGTTCCCTGCAACATCTTTGAGTTGACAGTCTCACTGCAGGGGTGTTGGAGAGATCCCTGAGAAACCCAACTGTTTCCCACTTTCCAACAGCAGGAACAGAACCCGAGAGCAGGGTGTTGGCTCCACCAAACTTGAGACATTCTTAAGCCTCCTTGAGAGAGTGGCCTTGGTGGAACAGGTGAGCATTCTGCAATTGCCCTTCTCCAGCAGCAGGACTTTCTCTTCACTGCCTCCCTGCCTGAGGAGTCACACATGTGCAGTGGGCACAGGGCATGCTGAGGGCTGCCTGGCTCAGTCAGAGAAGTTGTTGGTTTTTTTTTCCTTTTTCCACATCAGGGATGAAGACTGTAAATAAGCCATTCACAGAACCTGTCATGGCTCTACCAAATCCACATCGTTTCCCATCGGATCTTTTCCTTCCTGTACGAAGACATGAGGCTGCAAGGATGACACAGGAGTGGCCAGTACTCCTTACTGGCTGTACCACTTAACTTACTCTACCAGCAGTAACTGGCCACGTGTCAGTCATCTTGCCCTGAGGGGACTGTCTAGGAGCAGTGTCCACTAAATATAATTTCTACCCACTAGATGGAACTGAAGGACTGTGACCTGAGTTGACACTGAATCTGTTGCTGCCTTACAACTCAATTGCTCATTGCAGATCTTTTAAGAGACAAGAAACACTGATTATGATTTATTTTTTTTTCCTTCTGATAGTTTTAAAAGAAAAACACCAACAATGAATATTCATGATCAATCACATTTTGAAAATCCTGCAGCATTTCCAAGTGTATGTGGATGATATTTAATATAAATAGTAGAAAACTGTCTGGAAAACAGGTATGCTGAAAAAAAAAATATGTGCCTAATACAAACAAACAAAAACAAAAGTTGTCCTGCCTGAATCACCTGTGATATGTTGAAAACAAACCATATTGTTCCTAATGATACCTTTGACTTGCTTTCATTAAACACTTAAACCAGAGAGTTTTATAATTTCTTTTCTTACGGGTTTACTACTTTGCAATTTTTATCAGTTGTTTAAAATAAACCTTTAGATTTATTCCACTTCAGTTCAACATGTAAAAAAAAAAAAAAAAGAAAGCTACAGATGTGGGTAAAAATATGCAAATGAAAAGAAATATATTGTACAAATTCTATAAAAGCAAAAAAGTACAACCCAGTGTCTGTTTTTTGTTTGCTTTGCTCCTCTCCTCACTGAAGGTGAAATGCTTGGATTTGCAGGGAGATCAGGGATTTTTCTTACAAATCTTCCTTTTTCAGTGCCTGTCAGCAAACCTGCTTTGTGTCCTGCTGGGAGTGTGTGTCTGATCCTGTACTGAGCTATGCAGGATCCTGACTGCTGGAGTCACCTCTTGAATTCCAGCCCTGCTGTTTACATTCCAGTGGCCTTATCCTAAAAAATGAAGTTTTCCCATGGATACCCATTGGTTTCAGTACCTGTTCTTATTTACTTGCAGACCTGAAATGCACAGCTGAGGCTCCAGATGGTGTCTCATGTAAAGCTGAGATTGGTCTTAGTATCTCTTGATTCTAACCAGTGATGTTTATCAGCAAAGGTGCTTGTACCTGCCCAGATTAAAAGCTAATTTACCCTGGTTTTGGCTCAAGGAAGGGGTTGTTCAGGGAAGTGTGAGGAGCTCAACATCCTTCTGTGTTTACCCAAATCTGTTGTTTCCACTGGTTCCACAGGCTCAGAGAATGGGCTTGGTGGGTGGTTTTATTAAATACACAGGCCCAGTGTGAATGGTGAAGCTGTGGGATGGTGAGGACCATTCCCTGAGACAACCAGGTTTGAGGTTTCAGCTGCTGTGGGCAAAGTTGGAAATCTTAACAAATCCAGTTTAATCTGCTGTTAAATTGTGTGGTTTTAAACTCTGGAATGTAACAGAGGTCACAACCACAACGTTTGGGAGCTGCTGGTCTTCAGATGAAGTGAATCAAGACTAGTTTTTCTTCCAACAGATCGACCTTAGGCTGTAAGTTAACTCCTAAGTAGGTGATTTATTTCTTAAACCTGCTTTTAGGAGAAGACTACACTGTGTTTAGAGCAGAACTGGCTCCATTGCCCTGTGTTTTCACGTGTAACATTTCCAGTGGGTCTTGTGAATTTTATCAAACTGATCTTTGCAAAGGTCAGGGCAAGACCTGCCCTTTCATACCCTCTAGTGACCATCAGCAAACCCAGGAAGGTGCCCTGCTAAAAAAATCTGGGTATGTTGGAGCAGAACAAGGCCAAATCATCTGATTCTGTACTTTTTCCCTTTCTAAGGATGAATGTTGCTTCTTGCAGCCATGCCTGTGGTGCCCAGTTTGCTCAGGAGTGAGTGGTGCCAGGTGTCTGCTGGGGAAGCCACCAGCACAAGCATCAGACCTTGTTTTCATGGGACAACCAACCACAACCTATAAAAAGCATGACCTGCTCCTTAGGTAAAGCTACTAAAATGTCAATAAATGTAAAGAGGATGTTTTTTAGCACTTGGCCAGTGAGTCTTTAGGAGGTGAGGCTGGATAATAACTGGAACAAGGATTGTTCATGGGTAAAATGCCCTGCAACAACAGGAACTGTGCTGGGTTTTTTAGGAGGAAACAAAAAAACCTGGCCCACCTCTGAATTTAAAGCAAAGAAGTCAATTCCAATTCAAGTGAACAAGAGAGAAATCCACTGTGAATAGGGAAGGAATTAAGTAAGAGGTGAAGGAAGTAAGATTAAAGCTCATTCTTTCCATGACGGTCAGGACTGATTTAATCAGGCCCATTCTGCACTAATCTCTGGAGTTTTAACTAAGAAAGCACAAATCATAAAAAGCTGGTACCCAGCTCAAGCCCAGGCTGCAGCACTGGCTTCATTCTTTTTATATCCAAGGGCTGAGAAGCATGTTTGGATTTAGAGAAAAAAATGTGGAGAAGGGATAACTGGATGGGCTTGGAGACAGGGTCTTCCCATTCCAGTGTTAGGCAGTTTCCTGGGGAGTTTCTCCTGCTAATGCTTTTCTGACAACTTTAATGATTTTTTAATATTTCTTTTTAAAGCTGGTTTCTTGCTTCCATTCCTCACTTTACTGCCTGGCTCCATAAATCTTGCTGCAGTTTTTGTTTTTAAACATTTGCAGTGCAAATAGGAAATATTTATGCTTGCATGGA